TCCCAGAAATAAACCCATGCATACATGGTCAAACAATATTTGGCAAAGAAGGCAAGAGCATACAATGGGATAAAGACAGTCTATTCAATAAATAATGCTGGGAAAATTAGACAAATATATGCAAAAAATCCAAAACCAGACCACTTTCTTACACCATATACAGGAATACACTCTAAATGAATTAAAGATTAAATGTAAGACTTGAAACCATTAAACTCCTAGAAGAAAACATAGGCAGTAAAATCTGAGATTTCTCTTGGCAATATTTTTTTGTGATATATCTCCTTGGACAAAGGAAACAAAAGAAAAAATAAAACAAATGAGACTGCATTGAGCTAGAAAGGTTTTATATAGCCAAGAAAACTACCAAAAAACAAGAAGACAACCTATGAAATGGGAGAACATATTCACTAATGATACATCTGATAAGGAATTAATATCTAAAATTTAAAGAATTTAAATTACTTAGCACCAGAAAAACAAACAATCCGATTTAAAATGGACACAGGACCTAAATAGACACTCCTCCAAAGAGGATATACAGATGGCCAATAGCCATCTGAAAAGAAACTAAACAGTACTAATCATCAGACAAATGCAAATTGAAACCACAATGTCGGGATCACCTCACATCTGTCAGAATAGCTATCATCCATAAGTCCACAAACAACAAGTGTTAGCAAAAATGTGGAGAAAAGGGAATTCCTGTGTACTGTTGGTGAGAATTCAGGTTGGTGCAAACAAATTTTGGAGGTTCCTCAAAAAATTAAAAATGGAACTGCCTTATGACCCAGCAATTCTACTTCTGGGTATTTAGCCAAAGAAATCCAAAACACTAATTCGAAAGAATATATGCATCCCTGTGTTCATTGCAGAGTTAATTACAATAGCCAAGACATGGAAGCAACCCAGTGCCCATCACTAGATTAGTGGATAAAAATCATAATCTGTTGTGCCACCTTTATTTCTGCAATTGCAACTGATAGTCTCACATTTCCTATTAACTAATATTCTCCTTAAGTAATAACTGCAACCAACCAGTATTATTTAGTGCTATGCCTACTTATAATGGGCAGTTCTATTATTTTCAGAGCTTTCAGGAAATACTCTCCTAATTGGCTTTGTTGGGGTCTCTTTTATCTCTGAAGATGGGGAAAAAAAAGCTAGGACTTTTAATTTTTTGGGGTGCTTCTGTTTTTTAATGTTTTTCTTTAGAGAGGAAGGGAGAGGGAGAGAGATGGAAACAACGATGAGAGAGAACATCAATTGGCCGCCTCCTGCATGCCCCCCACTGGGGATTTGGCCCACAACCTGGGCATGTGCCCCGACCTGGAACTGAACCAGTGACCTCTTGGTGCATGGGTCGAAGTTCAACCACTGAGCCTCACTGGTTGGGCTTTGGGTGCTTCTTGTCTTGACTCCTGAGTTGAAAAATTGACGTTTCCAGTGTAATTATCCACCTCAACGGCACATCCTAGAAATCACCTGCTTGGCTCTCCTTCATGGGCCCTGTTTCTTTAAGTTAGCCTAAGCCCCAAAGATGCCAATGAAAACTGAAGGTTTTAGGAAGGTAAAAATGAAAAGGGAATGGGTTCCACGCCCTCCTTCCAAATTGTTTACTTATTCATTCTCTACATAGAATTCTTGGGGAGATGGTAAGCGTAAGAATAGAACAAAGAAGATGGCCAAGTAATTGAAAAATGGACCACCTAAGACGAAACAATACTTTCTTCTAGAGAAACAAGCAAACCAAATGCAGCACATTGTTTGTCATTTTGGTTTCATAATTTTGAGATCTCTTCACTCACAAAAAAAGTAAGAACTGGTTTTATTGACTGTTGATTTTTTTCCCTCCTGTGGATGAAATAACTGAAGCCTAGAGGAATGAACTAGCTACTGAAATATTTACATTATTTTTGTGTTAATAGTACACGTTGAGTATCTTTTTCCACATTACAAAATCTTTCTGAATTGTAAATGTTTTCCTAACATTATTTAACAATGTATACGGTTAAAAAAAAATGAATAAAGAATTCAAACCTTGGGTTTCTCTGCAGTCGTTAATTATATATTTTGCACTAACTGTGGGTGTTGCACTGCTTGGAAGATTGCGCTTTGTGCTTCAGTTTGAATACTTTTCTCTCTTTTTTTTTTTTCTTTATTGATTTTAGAGAGAGAGGAAGGAAGAAGTGGAGAGAAATAGAAACATCAATGAGAGAGAACATTGATTGGTCACCTCCTGCATGCCCCCCCACTGGGGATTGGGCCCACAACTTGGGCATGTGCTCTGGCTGGGAATTGAACTGGCTACCTCTTGATGCATGGGTCGATGCTCAACAGTTGAGCCATGATGGCTGGGCTCAGTTTGTAAACTTTCTAGACTTATTTAATGAAATCATTCAAATAAACCAATCTTGCTTTTGTTGAAGAAAAAAAAAGTGGTGGTACCCATATACAAAGGAATATTACTTGGCCATAAAAAAGAATGAAATCTTACTATTTGTGACAGTATGCATAGACCTAGAGGGTATTAGGCTCAGAGAAATAAGTCAGTCAGAAAAAGACAAACACCATATGATTTCTCTTATTTGTGGCACCTGAAGAACAAAATAAACCAAAGAGAAACAGACTCATCGACACAAACAGCAGACTGGTATTGCCAGAAGGGAAAGGTATTAGAGAATTGGGTAAAAGAGGTGAAGGGGTTAAGAGTATAAGTAGGTAGTTACAAAATAGTCACAGGATTGATTATAAAGTACAGCATGAGAAATATAGTCAATAATCTTGTGATACATATGTATGGTGCCAGATGGAAATCTCAGATTTGTAAAGTATATAATTGTCTGACTACTATGCTGTACACCTGAAACCAATACAACATAACATCAGAAGTAAACTTTAACTTTTAAAAAAATTAAGTAAACTTTGGTTATTAAATTATTTGAATATTGTTATTAATTCTTAACAAAACAAACAAAAAAACCTTTGCTTTTATTGCTGTAATTGGGATATTATTTGGGTTTCTTCCAGAATTGTAATTCTTTGGTCCCAAACACTAAATACTTGTTTCATCCCTTTTCAGCTTTTTAACTTTAGGTAAGCACCCATTTTTTAAGAGCAAGCTTTCCTCTCTGATTAAATTTTAATGCAAAATAGGGATCAAAACGATAGGTTTGATATAATTGTTTAAATAAAGATAATTATTTCATTATGATTTAAATAAATATGTCACATACTTATCTTTGTTCTACACAAAAATCTGATGAGTTTACTTGCAAATCGTTCCCTGCCATAACATGAGTTTATTTTTGTAAATAAACTTTCTGAGGACGGTGCTAACTTGGCACCAACTCTGATGGTTCCTCACAGTCACTGTGCAAGTACCCCAGAAACTGAACCTCCCAAGGCACTTACCCTTCAGAGACTTTCAACGACTTCGGAGCTCTGAAGCGGCAGTGAAAATTTGGACTCTTATTTAAATAAAATTTGAATAACCCTGTAGCAGTAATGAATGCCTCTGCTTGTCCCTGGGAGACATTCCAGGAAAAGAAGTAGGTATTTCAGTTTGAATTCCTTTGACTTCATGCTTTAAGAAAGGTCAACCTGACTATCCATGGATAACATCTCCTAAAAAAATATTCCATAGAGTAGCTTTTATTCTGCTTGATTTAACAAATAGTACATTGGTTGAAAAAAAAACATACATTTTAGTTCTAGGATCACTTATTTCTACTTTGTTTTTTACTGAACTTAATGGGTTTCCATGAATAAAATTTTGATTTAGGGGGGAAAAAGAGAAACATTTGTAACAAAAATAAATTTATACAATTGGAGGAAAAAAAAGACATGATGAAAAAGAAATACAAAGAAGATCACAAACACACACACACAAACGTGCACATATATATATTTTACAAATGAAATGGGACATTAGACAATATATAATGAAGAATAATTGTGTCATAGCAGTAAATAGTCTGCATGTGCTAAATAAAAATATAATAATCTTGGCTTTATGTGAAATTAGCATCCATGTGTGTCTTACTAGATAGATATATGCCCCAAAGAAAATAATATTACATAGACTAAAATAAACAAAAGGGCTGAAACATGACATAGAAGAAGAAAGAAAATATGGTTGTGGTAGTATTGACTATAAGGCACAATATATTAATAATTTAAAAATAAATACATGATAAGATATGTGATAGAATTAATAAATATAATTTACTATTAAATAATTATGTACCAAATATATATGGTTAGCCTTTCAGTGATTTAAGATAGTTTGACAGAAACACAATTGTTCAGATTTTAACTTAACAGCCTCTCACAAATCAGACTGAAACAGAGAAAAGAAGGAAAGTGTTTGATTTTTTTTCTATTTAATACTCGGGTTCAAATATCATTTTACAGGTTGAACAGATAATGGCTAAATTTTCTCAAATGACCCACAAATTATGTATGTTATATAATCATAAGAACAAAAGTGATAAAAATTCATCACCTAAGAATTTAAAAAGATAACTTAAATAATAATTGGTTCAAAAATACAGTGATGGATCAATTTGTTTTTATAAATCTTAATAAATAAAAATTTAAATTTGTTTTTAAGCTCGTAAGAGATAAGTATAGCAATAAAAAATGTATATCTGATTAAGAAGTATAATGTAAATATAAACTCTTTGTAAATCATGTATGTGGTAAATAATTAAAAAAATTAGTAAGAACCCAACTTTGGGAAGGAAGGGAGATATAAAACAATGATCAAATAAGAGATGATTAAATTTCGAAGTCCTGCATGGGTTTGATATGAATACATGGCATTTGGAAAAAATGGAAGCAATGCTTTCTTAAAATTACTGATTTCAAATTTGAGTTTATATTTTTTAAGATGAGAATTTACTCTAAATCTTATATTCTCAGAGTGCATTACTAAAAGGATGTTCAGAAACTTTTATAAATGTATATTTAGTTAATTGTAGATAAAAACCACTGACCTGTAGTAAAAAGTGTGTCCAGATTCATTGACACAGATCCCTCCATTGAGACAGAGGCCCGTATGCAGTTCATGCTCCGCACAGCTCCCAGTCCTGGTTTCACAAAATGCACCAGTACATCCACTTGGGAAAGTGCAAGTAAAGCCACAGCCTGACTTCTGACAGCAGCCTTCATTCATACACAGGATTGGTGTGCAGTCCTAAATTAAGAAATAAAGAATCAAATTTTATTATTGATGGCAAGACTAATAATTTTATTGAAATTGTATTATATTTAATCATTAAGAAAACAATATGCAAGCTTATCTGATATTTGCTTCTTCCAGCAACTAAAATATGCTTCTAGTAATAAAAGGTATTTACCTTTATAACCAGAAATATTCTGTCAAATGTTTTATTGGTGAATTTTGAGGGAAAAAGCCTATATTAAACTTTAGGTAATCATGTAATATGTATAGGTTATATTCATCTTATAACTGAAAGTTTGTGCCATTTACCAGTCTTTCCTATGTTTTTGCCACTCTGTAGCACCGGGCAATCATTATTTTACCTCTGTTTCTATGAGTTTAACTTTTCCCCCCTGATATTCCATGTATGTGTGATGCCGTGCAGTACTTGTCTTCAGTCTGGTTTATTTTACTGAGCATAGCGCTCTCCCGGTTTACCAATGTTGTCACACACAAGTGGATTTCCTTATTTTTTAAAGACTGAATACGATTTTATTGTACATATAGATACTACATTTTTTTAATGTAATCATCTGTCAATAGAGACTTGGGTCATTTTCATACCTTGATTGTTGTGAATAGTGCTATAATAAGCATGGGGCTACAGTTATCTCTTTGAGATAATGGTTTCATTTTCTTTGGATATATAACCAGAAGTGTGGTTCTGAATCATCTAATAGTTATACTTTTAATTTTTTGAAGAGAGGAACATTTATACTGCTTTAATAGCGGCTGTACCAGTTTACATTCCCACCAATAGCGTATAGGAGTTCCCTTGTTGCCACATCCTTGTTAGTATTTGTTGTCTTTTGTATTTCTGGTAATGAACATCCTAACAATGGTGGACTAATATATCACTGTGGTTTTGATCTGCCTTTCTATGACGATTAATAACGTTGAGCACTTATTCAAATATTTGTTGCTATTTGAATGGCTTCTTTGAAGAAATGTCTGTTCAGGTTGTTTGCCCATTTTTTACTTGGGTTATTTGTATTTTTGTCATTGCATTTCATGAGTTTCTTATATACTTTAGATATTAACCTTTTATCAGATAGGTGATATGCAAATATTTTCTCTCATTCCAGAGTTACCTTTATATTTTGTTGATGCTTTCCTTTGCTGTGCAGAAGTTTTGTGTTTTTTTTTTTTATTTTTATTTTTTTTTATTTTGACACCATCCCACTTAATTATTTTTGTATTCATATCATGCATCAAGTGGAAATTAAAGATTTGTCAAAACCACCAGAGAGTTTAATCACTGTCATTTTCAATAGATCTTGTCCTTGAGGATGAAACTCAAGTCATGTTTGAAACCAAGATGGTGATCTATTTCACTCACCCAAATGATAGAGTTAAATGTATGTTTTTACATATTAATGTCATTCTGGTATTTGTTCTACCTTTGCTGAAAATGTGAACTCCTTATAGATACCCAAGGGCATTTAGTAGACTTTGTGTAGGCACTGCAGTTATTTTTATGGAATGTAAATGCAGAATTCCACAGGCAATAACTAGGACAACATGTTTCTCTGTTATCCCAATGGCTAGGTATATATAGAATGATTTATTAGAAAGCATTACATAAAATAATTAAATTATATCTCCCATGGGCAGAAATAAATAGTTTTTAGACTGCCAAAAATTCCATATCTGGGGTTTACAAGAATCTTTTACAAAATTAATTAGAAGACTTAATGAGAAATACAACAACAATTTCTTGAAGAAAAAAAATCAAATTGTCACTTAAAGTTCTTGATCTTTCTGGTTCAAAAATCAAGGAAGATGCCTTTCCTTTTGTTCATGATTATTCATATTATTTTTCTATACCTTATTTAATACAATAAAGTGCTTGCCAAGAAAAATTTACTAATTTGTTTCCAGAAAATGAAAGAAATACAAACCTGCTGTGTTCAGAGATAAATAAGAAATCTGGGGGTCATGATGCAGACCATGAAAAAATAGACAATAGAGCTAGACACCAATGCTACTTTTACTCAGCTTACATTGAGACCAACGTGCCAGGAAATGTACAGGAGTGTGAGCACCAGAGCAGGGATGCTTAGCCAGAGCCAACCACCAGATGGGCAAGTAAATGTGCTAGTTATCTCTCTGACAGTTGTGTTCTATCTGAAGTGTATAGACCAATTCCAAAAATTTGTCCTATGATTTCTGTACTTCCCAGAAGAGTAGACATTTATTATCTGAGATCATCTTTATCATAAAACATTCCTCTCACAGAATCATATGCTTTCTCTTTTAGCACTGTTATTTTCCAAGTTGTGGAATACTTTCCTCAAAAAAGATTTGGGAGAAACAGAATATGTTAACTTGACAATTATGGAACTGTTCTGTTTGAAGAGGGAAATAGAATGTGGTGCCCAACCCATCGAAAGAACTATTAAGCTTCACAGAATTCTCAAATTCTTTCCAGTTTTGAATAACTAATATAGTCGACTGTTTATAAAACTTAAATTGCATATGGATACATAAGCTTGTTAAATTGCAGATTCAAACTCAGAAGGTTTGGTCTGGGGCCTGAGTTTCTCCATTTTCAACAAATCCCCAGGAGATCCTGATGCTTCTAGTCTATGGACCAAACACTGAGTAGCAAGAATGCAGCCCCACAATTTCATCTTACTCATGAGAATAAGGACAAGCCCAGTGGTGTTGGAATGACTTACCACATTCTTAAAGCAAGACAATGGCAGAATAAAATTACATAGACACTAAATACCTTGAATTCTAACTTAGGGCTCATTGTATTATGTCTTGATTTCTCTCTCAAAAAATTGTTCTTAGCTACATAATTGTACAAATTACAATGTATATGGTAAAGACTTAATATCCCAAGGTTTACTTAAAATACAATTTTCACTTGCTTTTTTGTTCTTTCTCAAATCTTACATGGTTGAATATGGGAATAAAGTAGTTAATAGGGATATTTTGCTTGCTAACCAATTTAATCTGAGATGATGTTGTGACATAAAGAAAATACACTAACTTTGTTATTTCAAAAAATCAAAAATGATTCTAAGATATCAAATTCAAATGTTTTCAGTAAATATCAATTTTTAATTCTTTATTGAAAATGTGTTTGGCATTACCTCTGGGAAAAAGGCCACTGAAATACAGCAAAACAAAACCATTGTCTCAGAAATAGCCTGAAATGCACAGATGCATCAAACAGTAAAGAAAATATATCAGTACTAAAACTAGACAGAATGCCAAATTCATGAAACAAACATAAAGACTTTTTAAAGGTAATACAGAGTTCCAAACACATTATAAAAGCTAACACTCAATATACACTCCTATTTCCTCAGGTAAACAAAATATTTCAGAAGGAATCTAAAGTATATATTCAATATCTAGATTGTATATTGTACTCTAACTTGGCAAAATGAGGTGTCAAACATGCACAAGCAATTCAGAAGACAGAGAACACTTTGCTAAGGTATCTGTAGCTTTGCAAGGGACATGAGCTAGTGTCAGTGTTTAGGACAAGCCTTGACCCCACCTGTTTTACTCTTCTCATTCAGGTTTGAGCTTGCTCTTGCAAGAATAGCTGAAGAATTCTGCCCCTAACTTAGAGATTCAAGATTTATGGACCAAAGTCAAATAAAGAAATAGATAGAGAAGATATATAGGAAAATATGTAAGAAAAGATTTCGAATAAACCTAAACATGGTGTGAAATGAATAAACTGTGAAGCCAAAAGGACACACACAAGATATGAGCCGGATAGTATTAATAATTATATCCTACTATGAAATAAAGTAGGATTAACTCAATTTTCTGCATTTAAGGTACATAAATAATTTTTAAGAGCTATATATTTTAAATATCATAACCTTTGCCCCGGCTGGTGTAGCTAAGTGGTTAGAGCATCAGTCTGAGTACTGCCACGTTGCATGTTGGATTCCCAGACAAGGGCGTATACTTGGGTTACAGGTTTGATCCCCAGCCCCAGTCGGGGAGTGTGCAGGAGGCAACCAATTGATATGTCTCTTTCACAGTGATGGTCTCTCTCTCCGTACTTTTCTTTCTTATATATTTGTATTTTGATACAGCAAACAAAACAAATACTGCTTCCTTGTAGCAGTTATCCTCAGTCTCAACAAAATAAAGAGAAACGTTTGCTATCTATATCACCCTTCTTTCTTTTCTTTTATCTCTGCGTGTGTGTGTGTGTGTGTGTGTGTGTGTGTGCTGAGAGTTGAGCTAATTACATCGTGTGAAACCACAGCATCTATTCCATACTTTGTTTTACTCTAGTATTGATTCTAATACTTAAAGTTTACCTCAAATTTTGAGATTGACAAAAAAAAAAAAAAAAGTTTGCTTGCATTTTTTCCCCTCCAGCCCTTACATAAACTTTGTTTTTTTTATTCTTCAAGGAGCTTCAGACATAACAACCTGCTCCACATTGACCTGAGTGTCTTTTCAGTCAGTACTGCCCATGTTTCTCCATTGCTCTTGTCTCTTTAGCCCGGAAGGACAGACTTGAACATTAATCCATGAATGCCCTTTGGACGCTGTTATCTGTGCTTTGCAACATAGCGAGAGCTAAAATAAATAGTTCAGCTGAGTAAGATACATATCTTTATCTATGTCTCCAAATAAAACTGACTGTCAGGAGGTATGTCTGAAAATTTTTATATTCTGGTTTCCCATGGGTATTAGATATTCAACATTTGCAATATAACCAAAATTATATTTAGAGTACACCCAATGTTTTAGTAAAAAAAGGATGGATGCTTAAAAAACTCCATTGAACTATAATAATTAATATAGATGGCAAAATGAAATTTTAAAAGAGAAACAGAATAGATATTCTGCATACTAGATTTAGAAACAGTGTATTAAATATAAGACATGTCAAATAAATATTTTTAGGTAAAATTTTGATAATTAATTTTGAAAATTAATTATACTTAAAAAAAATCAAACCCCTGCCTTCTTTCTTTATTTTTATTTTTATTTATGTATTACTTTTTAGTGGTACGTGACCCTAGCAGGAACGGAACCGGGACTCTCTGGCCTGGAGGCTGACGCTCAACCACTGAGTCAAACTGGCCAGGGCCCTGCCTTCTTTCATCATAACAATATATTTACTGTGAGTTAAGGTATTAAAAGTGTTGTCAACACTAAAATTGTAGTAGATGAGAATCTAAGAAAATAATTTGGATATTGCTATATAAAAACACTCTCTAAGGAAAGATGAAAACCTAGAGTCATTTAAAAAGTTAAAGAAAATATCAAAATTTCACAATTTACTAATTTTATAAAGCAAAAGTATCTAAGCACAGGACAAGATTTTCAATGTAGCAGAATCTAATGAATTCTATTCATAATTTTAAATAATACATACAAACCCAAAAGGAAAAAGCAAGTGAGCCCAAAGAAAAATTCTATTAATCAAAGATTTTGACTACACAAAGCACCTGGATATTCAAACAGCAAATAATCATATGAAAAGGTACTAAATCTTCATACTAAACTAGGAAAATGTAAATAAAAATAATGACACGTTACATTTTTCTCATCAAATTAGTCAACAGTTTTATAAAAATGTGTATTGATTTCACAGGATGTAGGAAAGTTGGAATGTCCATCTTATCATTAAATAAGTATAGTTTTTAAACACTTATTTGGAATTTTTTTTAGTTATTAACAAGAATGGGTCAGGACTCAATGATAATGGAATGGTTCTTACAATACACTAGTTAAAACAAAATGTTTTGTTTTTTTTTAAATAAAACAAGGCAATTTTAATAATTGAGTATTAATATATACAGATTCATTTATATAAACAAATATTTATTTACTTATTTATTTCATTCAGAAGAATGCCACATTTACACTACTATGAGAGAGTTTTTAGTGATTACTGCCAAGAATATATGCAACAGTGAAAAAAATAAATATGCCTCATTTACCAGGAAATTTACTAAAACATTTTCTTTTCCATGTCACATATAGTTTTCACTATCTCGAATCAAATCAACATAATGTCGATGAATAATTAAGCTTTTAAAATATAATGTGTCAGAAAATGTGCTAATTGATTTACGCGTATTATCAAATTTAATCCCCACGACAACCTAGGAGGTAGTTACTATGATTACCCACATTGAATTGTTAAAACATGATTTCAGAATATAAGTACATAATTTGTCCAAAAACACATAGCGGGTAACAAGAAAAATATAGCTCAATCCTCTTCCTACTTAATGCATTTAGCTACCCCATCACTGCCTCCAAAAGGATCATTTACTGATTATTTACCACATTTTATGTAACTCACCATATGATAACCCTATGATGTACAAACTATATTTTACTAATGCAGGAGAGAGACACAAAGGATTTAAATAAAATACCCATATAGTCTCTCAATGCTACAGGATGTTTTTAGTCTCTCTGTTTCCTTCCTTTACCATATCACTGCAAACCAGGAAGGATTTGGAGGAACCCTCCATTATCCAGAAAGGCTCATGAGATTCTCATCTACCAAGAATAGTCTCAAATTTCAGGTAACCAACATTTCCCAACAGATGAGCCATTCCACATAAAACACCATGTGTCCACTACATCACATCAGACTCCTGAAGATTGGAAGGCAGATCCTGAGAGTATCCCGGGTGGTAAGGTATACTACATTTATTCACCTCATGGCACATCCACTTAGTATTTATTTTCTCCTGTAGTGTCTGGATCATTTAATCTTATCTCATCCCTACACATTCACCAACACCTGTGCATTCTAAGACTGGAGAGGGGGAGGAGGTAGTGGCAAATCATAAGCCTTCTGAGGTCCTTTGGTCTATGACCATATCCGGGATTTAGTTCATTGAGGGCTCCAGATTGCAGAAGTTTGTGATAATTAGAGACAAAGAGGGGAAGGGCAAAAAGAGGCTGTGATTTTTGTTCCGAACAGCTGAAAAATTCCAAAATGGAATGGAAGAGAGTAGCTAAATCATTCTTACTTGAAGAAAGGACTTTGAAACCAACAGAAAGTAGTTTTGTTTTTCTCTTAATATTCTTTAGATTTAATCAAAGTTATAAAACTTACATTAATCTTGATCTCACATCTTGATCTTGTGCATTCTGCATCTCTTGAACATTGATACCCATTAATGACATCTGTACATCTAAAACACAGAATTACAATTTTAAGTAAGTAAGACATTAAAGCATACATACAAGGGCATTTAACTATTTAGAATTGTCCTTTTCCCGTTCAGGTAAAAACAAAATAACACATTTCCATGAACAACAGAAGGCAAACTCTTCCTGGTTTCTTATCCTTCAAGGTGACTGGACTGAAAGAACAAATCAGTTTTTATTTTTGGCATCTTCCTCATGGCAATGAAAGGAAAGAAGAGTTCTAGAAGATCTGCAGTATGTCTAGGGCTTACGTAGGAAACCTAAGCAGCTATGGCGGAACCCCAATGCAATGAGCTATCCATCTTCATCTTCTGCTCCCCACTTACAAAGTCAGTGGCAGGACTAGACAAAAAGGAATAATAATCCTGCAAAGGCAGCTTGGTGCATCTGTGGGTCATCCTTCTTTGACACTTGCATCTCCTAGCAATAGCCCCACTCTAGATTTGCATAAACTAATTTTCTATCTATGAGCAGAACAATTAGTATACAATCCCACAAAGAGAGCCACAAAATACCTTTCATGCACACAGGGATGAGAGAACCAGTTTACTTAGAAACATTTTAAATACTAAGTGTGTGGTATTATCCCTCCACATTGTAAATAATATAATGTCTCTTCATCCTACCTGCTACTTCTATTACTTCTATTCAGTTACAATTAAGTATATGCAAGTCCAATTAATCTGTACTTATTTAAATTTATGCTAATGAGTAGAAATAAATAAAGGGCAGAGAAAATGTATCAGTACATTTCATTAAGTAGAACAGGCAGCATCTGCCTTCTTAACTGTACTTTGCTCTAGTTATTTACAAGAGCACAATTAAAATAAACTTTATCAAGTTCCCCTTGACGTTGTCTTAAATATTGTGAGTTAAATTTACTTTCTGAGATTCAGTAATAGATAAATAAAAATAGCTACCTCTCTTGTAGACAAGGATTTGAGAGACAATCATTGGCATTTGTTTCACAGTGTGTCTCAAAAATGGCACTCTTGCAGTCACAGGTATAATGATCGATGCCATCAATACACGTCCCATCATGGAGACAGAGCTCTGATAGACATTCATCTATATTTACTTCACAAATGATGCCTACATTAGAAAAAAACAAGACAAAACATAACATCATTTAAATACAAAATACAAGTTTGTTCATTATGATAAACATCACCAAGAAATCTAAATAAAAATAAGTTAGCATCATGTAGCAACAAAACAAAACAAAACAAAAAAAAACAAACAAACAATAATAAAATAAAAATAAAATAAAATAATGTGAGGTTAAATGTGTTTAGGTATGAACCCCCAAACTACTAATTTAATGTGAATGAGAATAACAAAGCAAAAGCTTAATCTACTTAAAAGATGTGTTTTTAGTATAAAGAGTTGTTTATTGACAATATCAGCGAAGTAATGAATTATATCAAGTTCTCACTATGAATATTAGTTCAAATTTTTTTGTAATGATCCTTGAAAGTCAAACATTTATTACCTATAGGAATTAAGAGTTTCAATTTTTCTAAATTTAGTCTTGCTGAGTCTATTAATGGGCTATCTGAGATTTCTAAATGTAATCTAACTTTGGCTAAATACCCAGTGTTTTCAAAGGCCAAGTTTTTAATATTTATGAAGCACCTACCATGTGCCACCTCTGTGTTCAACTAGAACTACAAAAAAAACCCCAAAACAAACAAACAACAACAACAACAAAAAAAATATCAACAAAAAAGAGTGACCTCGTTAATTCAGAAACATGTCAAGGAGACAATACTTATAGATAAAAAACATTTAGAGAAAAACTTAAGCAAAGCCTAAGGGAAAGTTAGACTGTGTTTTAGGTTTCACGTTAGAGATATTAGGAAACAGTAGAGAATCATAAAATGTTTAGATTAATCCCTTTGTTCATTGTGTCTACCTGTACTGAGCATCTACTAACAAAAGCTATCATTACTGGTGTGTCAGGTACCATGCTGAAGGCTTTATACACATTATTTTAAATAATACTAATCAACCATGAAGGCAGATTTGAACCTGAACCCAGTACAGAGTAAACAAGTATTCCTAGAGTTGAAATCCTGCTTCCCAATCACAATGGCCATTACAGCAGATCAGGATTCAAATCATGTTCTCCCTGACTTATGTTTCTGATCAATAGTTTCAATGGACTATCCTGCAATTGCTATGACATGTGCACATTATTACACCGAGTAGTACATGTATACTGTTAAAAACCACACAACAGAGCCCAAATGGAGTAACATGCTAAGTCTCATGTCACCAAACTGACACTTAAACCAGCCAATCAGAAATAGCCTCACCAGCATCAGCTAGGTAATCTGCCTGATAGAAAGATGCCATCCAGTAAAGAAAAGTACAGGCATACCCGAGAGATACTACGGGCTTGGTTCCAGAACAGCAAAATGTGAGTATTGCAATCAAGTGAGTCACACACATTTTCTGGTTTCCCCGTGCATATTTAAGTTATGTTTATATTATATTGTAGACTATTAAGTATGCAATAGAATTATGTCTAAAAAGTAACAATGTACATACTTCATTTAAAATACTTTAAATGCTAAAAAATGGCAGAGGGTTTTGCTTTGATGTTGATGGCTGCTGAATAATCAGCATGGCTATTACTGAACATTAGGGTGACTGTAGCAATTTCTTAAAATAAGACAATGCTGATGTTTGCCACATCGATTGATTCTTTCTTTCATGAACTATTTCTCCATAGAATGTGATGGATGTTTGACAGCATTTTACCCATAGTAGAACTTCTTTCAAAATTGGAGTCAATTCTTTCAAACCCTGCCACAGTTTCACCTAAGTTTATATAATATTCTGAATGTTATTATTTACATTACCTTCACAGCATCCTTACCAGGAGTATATTCCATCTCAGGAAACAACATTCCTTGCTTATTCATAAGAAGCAGCTTCTCATCCATTGATGAGAATGCATTCTCAATCTCATCATGAGATTGCAGCAACTCAGTCACATCTTCAGGGGCCACTTCTAACTCTGGTTCTCTTGCTGTTCCCACCACATCTTCAGTTATTTCTCTACTGCAGTCTTAACCCCCTCAACGTCATCCATGAAAGTTGGAATCAACTTCCACCAAACTCCTGTTAATGTTGATATCTTACCTTTTCCCATGAATCACAAATGTTCTTGACAGCACCTAAAATGGTGAAACCTTTCCAGAAGGATTTCAATTTACTTTGCCCAGATCTATCAGAGAAATCACTATGTATGGCATTTATAGCCTTACAAAAATTATTTCTTCAAGAATAAGACTTGAAAGCTGAAATTACTCCAAATGAATGTGGTATTAGCAAGCACCCCAACGACATTAATTTTATTGTCCGTCTCCATCAGAGTTGTTGGGTAACCAGGTGAATTGTCAATAAGCAGTAATATTTTAACATAAATTTTTTTTTTCAGAGCAGTAGATCTCAACAGTAAGCTTTAAATATTTAGTAAATCATGTAAACAAATATGCTCTCATCTAGGCTTTGTTCTTCCATTTATAGAACCCAGGCAATGTAGATTTACAATCATTCTTAAAGACCCCAGGATTGTCAGAATGGTAAATAAGCATTGGCTTCCACTTAAAATAACAATAGCAAGCTGCATTAGCTCCTGACATAAAAGTCAGCCTGCACTTGGAAGCTAGGCAAAAACTTCTCTCTAGCTAGGAAAGTCCTAGAGGACATCATCTTCCAATACAAAGGTAATTTCATCCACACTGAAACTCTGATGCTCAATGTAGCCACCCTCATTAATTATTTTAGCTAGATTTCCGGATAACTTGCTGCAGCTTCTACAGCAACTTCACCTTGCACTTTTATGTTAGAGATATAGCTTCTTTCCTTAAACCTCTTAAATCAGCCCCTGCTAGTTTCAAACTTTTCTTCTGCAGCTTCCTTAACGCTCGCAGCCTTCATAGAACTGCTCTGGATAAATCTTTGGATTAAGGAAATATTGTAGTTGGACTGATCTCTCCAGACCACTAAAACTTACCATATTTGCAGTAAGGATGTTTTGCTTTTTTATCATTCCTGTGCTCGAGGACTTTTCCTTTGTATTCACAACTTGGCTAACTGGTGCAAGAAGCTTAGTTTTTAGCACAGCTTGGTTTTGACATGTCTTCCTTACTTAGTCATTCTCAGCTTTTGATTTAAGGTGAGAGATGTGCAACTCTCCCTTTCCTCTCAACACTTGGAGGCCATTGTAGGGTTATTCACTGGCCTCATTTCAGTCATGCTGTGTCTCAGGAAATAGGAAGGTCCAAGGAGAGGGTGAACAGATGATCAGTGAAGCAGTTTAGAACACACACATTTAAGTTCACTGTTTTATATGGTTGCAGTTCATGGTGCCCCAAAATAATTACAACAGTAACATCAACAATCACTGATCACAGATCACCATAACAAATATAAAAATAATGAAAAAGTTTGAAATGTGAGAATTAACAAAATGTAAGAGAGACATGAAGTAAGCAAATGTTGCTGGAAAAGTGGTGCCAATAGATTTGCTCAAAGCAGGTTTGCCACAAACCTTCAATTTATATATAAAAAAAAAATCTGCAAACCACAATAAAACCCCCTCGAGCTCCTGCCTATCTGTTTGATGGAATGCTGTCCAATTCAAACAATTTTTGTTCAAATAAACTTTTATAATTTTTAATATGCCTCACCTTATCATTTAACAGTTTCCAATATAAAAACATGGCTCTTATAGCCAAGAACATAATGTCTATTTGGGAATAGAGATAAGCTTATAAAAGAATACACTAGTACAATGCTTATAAACAGACAGTTATAAATAAGCTAGATGAATATAAAAATAAATTTATAGACAAATACTCTTATTATCATAAAAATATAATAATAATAATAATAATGATAGCTGATATATAGAGATCTTATTACATGCCAAATACTGTTAAACACATTATATAAATCAACTCATTTAAACTAATACAATTTTCTGGCATGGAAATTACTTTCCGCATTTTGTAGAATAAAACAAAAATAAACAAAGCAGAAGATAACAATCACAGCTAGTAAATGGCAGAAACCATACTGTTAGTGACTATATAATACCAACATTACCCATTTTAATACCTTAACTGTGTGATACATATCCTAATGAGAGAGCAAACTGAGGACATTGGGTGTTTAAGGAATAAAGACATAGAGTCCATATCTGAGAGTATCATGAAGGTTTTGATGATCATGGAGGAAAGGATCTTGAGAATATTTAGAAAAATAGTTTGAGAGAGTACATTGGCATTATATGCGAGCTAGATATCTTGGTATTTGTTTGAATACCAAAAAAAAAAAAAAAAAAAAAAAAAGGAATTGGGGGACATATACTGGTCCCTTTTTCTTCTTTTATCATAACTGTTATTACCTATATAGAATTTTGGATATTAATGATACTATAAAAATAATGTTGTGTGTACATTAGTCAAATCTGCAGCCACATTTATTTATTTATTGTTAATTCTCACCTGAGTATATTTTTCCACCGAATTTTAGAGAGAGTTAAAGGGAGGTGGGGGGGGGAGAGAGAGACACATTGCATTGGTCAGTTGCCTCCTATAGATGCCCTACTGAGGTGGATTATTGAATCAGCAACCCAGGTACATGCCCTTGATCTGGAATAGAACCCACAATCCTTCAGTGTATGGGCTGACACTCTTATCTACTGAGTCACACTGGCCAGAGCTGCAGCCATATTTAAAAGGACCATCAAGATTTAGGTTTAGGATGTGGTTTAAAGGAGCATAATAACTTAGAATAGGCTGTTAATAAAAAAGAAAAAGAAAAAAAGAAAGAAAGCCCTTTTCCCAAATCTTAGTGGTTCATGACACACAAGTTTATTTCTCGCTCATAGTCCAAACCAAGGTGAACTAGAGATCTGCCGTATTTTCATGGAGCCTCCTTTTCCTGGGACATTGCCATCATTGCTGAAGAGGAAAAAGGACACTTGGAAAACATAAACTTTTTCTTAAATCTCCCGCCAACATTTCATTTGCCATCCAAGTTACCTGACCAGGCCCTACATTGATGGGGTGGGA